ATTGACTATTATCAAAATTACTACTTCTAGAAACAACAGAAATAATAATAATAATAATAACAACAACAATAATAATAGTAGTAGTAGTAGTAATTATAAAATGATTAGGTTTCCAAAAGTAAGAATAAACTACGAATTCAAGTAAAATTTTCAGTCATCTTATAAAATCACTTGCTATGACAACTTATAAAAAGTTTAGTATCATGAAATTATTGCAAAACTTTAAAAAAACATTATTGAAAGAAAAATTGGACGTTTATATCATAATAAAATAAATTATAACACGATTATGGTCTCCGGTCTGAACAAAACCCGCATGTGATTTGGCAATTCTTCATATTTACACAGTTTACTAATGCTGCTCAAATGTGCCATTAATGTACTGGCAAAAATATATAGTGTATTTTATACAAATATAACTGATGTAAAAGACAAAAACAAAGTTTAAGGCTGATGTCTCTATTCATTTTCACAGAAGCAAAGCAACAGATGTTATAAATAAACAGTTAGCAATGTTATTGAATAGAATATTAAAACCGTTATTGCACATCTTAGGCTACACAGACAAAACAGTCGGAGATGCGTTTTTTTTTTTCAATTTTACGCATTAGTAGTAAATCAAGACTAATGCGTAAAAAAATTCTGACTACACTGCACAAATAATCTCTTACACTGCAGCTTTGTTTGATTAATTCAGTGCTTGCACGTACACCGCTTTTATTATTATTGCATTACTACTTTGCCACAAGGAAAAGTGCGTACGTCTGCTCAGACCCTGACGTGGCGTTAAGTACTTTTCCACGCCAAAGACCGTTTTTATAAATATGCACGTTGCCGTGGATTTGAGCGTATGCACACTCTAAGATCAAATCTGTGCGTATGCACATTTTATAAATGAGGTCCCTGGAGTGGAGCAAGTGATTACAGAACATTTTGAGCTCTTCTGTCAGTCCAAACAATGTTCCAGGCCTTGAAGTTTTGGTTCAGTGAATGACTTACTCATAATAGTCACTTGTCAACAACACTTACTGGTGAAACTATGTAAAGTGCAGAAAGAGCCACTGAAAAACTAAAGGTAAATGAACAAGCCTTAGTCATATAAAATGGTGAAAAAGACACATGGGGGAAATCAACCCCTGTCTGGCACATGTTAGCAAGCATGTTCATTAGAGCTCCAAGTCATGGCACTAATTAAAGAGGGGTTTCACTAGGCAGTATTTTCACTGTAAACCTTCTATTGTGTGTCCTCTGTTTGTTCTTTCATTTCTCCATTTAATTTCTATTTAATATCACCAGGCAATAAGAGCAACTAATGATTGACGTTCTGAGTGAGCTAATAAACCTGAACATTAAGCCACAGAAGAGGCAGTTCTCCATTAGTACTCCAGAACATGATCTGCACTGTGCACGTAAAAATTCACACACACACACATTTCCTCCTTTGTTAAACTAGCACTATGTAGGACACCTATAGAATAACTCAATAAACCATTTGTCATGCAAAATGTTAGTGGTTGTAAACAGAAAAACTGACATTTGAAACCCACCAGGTGATTTTTTTTTTTTAATAATTCTAGTTATTTTATTATAAAAAAAAAAAACAACAACCAGTAAAAGTTATCAGAATCAGTTTGTGAGTGTATGCAGGGTCCAAATGTAAAGTGTAATTTCATGGCCAAATATAAAAAAAAAAATTCTCCAGTAAATGTTATTAATTTTGGACCCTGAGTGTATGTGTCCTGAGATACAGTAGGGGCTCATGTGTTCAAACATACCACTTTCCACCACAGGATGAGGCCGTTGATTTCTCGATGGGCTCTGGAGAGTCAGGAGCACTGAAACAAATCAAACCATCAATTCTGCTTGACACCATTACAATAACTACGATAAATAATGAATAGCTACTCATCTTTAGCAAAATAAAAACGTTCTGGATTCAAAAATGTTTTTTGTTTGCTTTTACAAACTGAGAGACAACTTGAAACTGGTATCAAAATAATAAACTTGAGAGCATTCATTTAAAAGCGTTGTTAAACGCTAAATGAAAATTGAACAAAGAGTTATTAACAGTTTCACACATGAAGGGCCCCCACCGGTCACCACATTTCACTTTTTCAGTGCATCTCATTTGAAATGCATAGTAGGATTCACTGACTGCACTATTCCACTGACATTGCTCTGCCTTATGTAGTCCGCCCCTTTTCAGCACTGTGCAGCACTCTACAATAACTATACACTGCACCAGCGAATTACTCTTCAACAGGGACGCTATAGAAAGATGCAGATGTTCTAAAATGACAAAATTCTAAAGATGGCTGTATGCTTGTTTCTCTAATGCGTAAGGTCTATAGGCCAGTGGTTCTACTTCTTTATAAGCACATCAAAATAATGAAATAGCACTCCATAATAAAACATCACTATAAGGTTGTTCAACTTTATCTAGCTTTGTCAAATAGGAAAAGAGGAGTTGTAAAGAAAAGCCAAGTTTCACTTGGTTTTCTGATTCCCATATGAGTGTACATGAACACAAGTTACATGAAGAAGTTACACAAAAGAAGTCATATCACATAAGTACATTTAACAGAATTTAAGAGAAAGAACATTTCAGTAGTATGTCAAGGCATAATGGTACTGTCACCGCAAAAATGGTTTCATGTAATAAAAAGATCTATTTAACCTTCCCCAATCTATTTATAATCCTACAGGCTACAACCGGTTTTTTTTTTTTTTTTTGCTTGGTCACAATATATATTTTAAGAAAATTAATTGAAAGTTAAAATTGAAAGTAGAATTAATTGAAGTCTGAATTCTACTGGTACATTAAGCCAATATAAATGAACAAGAAGTCTACACAAGTTTGTTGATATGCAGGGATCATCATAGGAATAGAGTCTTGAATTGAATTGTTCAGTTACGCCAATGTTCTTACAAAGCATTTCACAACACAACCATAACATGACCTGAGGATAGGATGCATGGGTAATGCAAGCAAATGTTTATTGTATTTGTATTTATTTAATATGCATTTATTTTTTTCATTTAATCTAGCACTTAGCTTAGTATAACATAATACAGTATTTAAAATGTAGTTTTAGGGGTGTGTGACTACAAATGAGGAGTTTGAGAGAACGTGGCTCCTGCACAGACATCATAACAGAGCCTCAAACAGTTTCCGCCAATGTTCTTACAAAGTATTTCACAACACAACTTGACTCACAACAACAAAAGCTGAGACAGGGAAGGATAATGCAAATGTTTAATGTATTTAACATAACATCTAAACTTAAACTGAAAACGTAGTTTCACAAGAGCTTAATATTTGTCTAGAATGTTTGCGGCCTCAATTGTGAGGTTTGAGAGAACTTGGATCTTGCAGAAACTTTTCAGACATGTGTAGCGGACCTTGTAGTCCTGACAGACCCCTCCTCCCTGCTGATTATTCACGCATTCAAAGCCCTGTAGTGGATCAAATCTGCAGAATCAGAGCAGATGGCTGTTAATCATTACAAATCATACAAAATTCTAAAATTGCATATATGTTTACAATAAAATAAATTAACAAATATTGTTCAATCTTACACTTGAAAATTGTTTCCAGGTGGCAGTACAGGAGTCCCACTAATGGTCGCGACCTCAATGGCGATGGGCTGAGCGCAGACCTGTAGTGGGTATGTTATCAGGGTCAACGACAGCGTCTCATAGTCTCCAAGTCCACCGGGATTATCTCGGTCAAACCAGGGTGTCCTACATTCTAATAGAGGAAAATCATCTCAGTAAAATTCATCTCATTTGAGGTCAATATTTGAGATCACAATTTCTATAGTAGAAACCAGCTAAACCTTGATTTTAACCTGATGTCTAGGTTGAGAAAGTTTTAAAATGATCTCACATGCACTCACTTGAACACCAATCCTCTGGGCAGGTGAAGCGCACCTTATAATCAGCACATAGCACTCCTCCTTGGTTTACACAGGAAAACCCAGATGTCGGATTATAACTTCAGAAAACACAAAAAAACACCTTTACAACATATTAAAAAACAAGTTTCAGTTAAGATCGTTTGAAAGATCCTTTGATAGACTCACACTTGAAAGATGTTTCCAGTTTGATACGCTGGCTGGCCAGAAATGGTCTGAGCCTCAATTCCAAGTGGATTCGGACAGATGTACCCATGGTACACACTGAGAAGAACAGTCAAGAGTTCAGAATCGCCTCCATTTGTATTAGGGTTGTCAGAATCAAACCACCTGGTTACACACGCTGATGAATATGGTACAGAGGAAAGAAACAATTAAAACAAACAAACAAAATGACCCAACATCTTTACAATATGAACAAAACAACTTTAAGAAATCAGAATGATAAAAACATACTTGTGTTGCAGAAACTCAATGGACATGTGAAGCGGACCCTGTAGTCTTGACAGGCCCCATTCACACACACAAAGCCCTGTAATGGGTCATATCTGCATAAAGATAACACATATATTAACCAAATTCTCTAAATGACATTCATAACAAGCATTTTTACGCATAAGATTTTGCAAAGGTGTTCTTGAATATCCAACAAGCAATGATTATGCTCCTTGTGTCTATCTGACATCGCATTAAGAAATAACAGCATGGTTTATTTTAATTGAAAACATTTATATGGATAATACATACACTTGAAAAATGTTTCCAGGTGGCAGTACAGGAGTCCCACTAATGGTTGTGACCTCAATGGCGATGGGCTGAGTGCAGACCTGTAGTGGGTATCTTATCAGGAGTAACGACAGCGTCTCATAGTCTCCTAGTCCACCGGGATTATCTCGGTCAAACCAGGGTGTCCTACATTCTAACAGATAATGACCAACTAAGTTAAAGTCTTCTCATTTAAGGTGAAATGTTAGGCCATTATCACAATGATTTCTATTGTAGAATTTGTTTTTTTAGTTTACATATCAGTTATTTAAAAGCTTTGATATGTTTTTAGTCAATCACACTTAAAAATCTTCAACTTTATAAAAGTCACATCACATAACATAATAAATTCAATCTGTTTTCATGATCTCACACGCACTCACTTGAACACCAATCCTCTGGGCAGGTGAAGCGCACCTTATAGTCAGCACAAACCCCTCCTCCTTGATTTGCATTTAAGCAAGAAACCCCAGTTGTTGGATTATATCTACAGAAAATACACAAAACACCATTAGAACATAATAAAAAGCAAACAACATTTAAGATCCCCTTTTGCTTGGCATACTGAAAATGTTACAATTTGATAAGACTCACACTTGAAAGACGTTTCCAGTTTGAGACGCTGGCTGGCCAGAGAGGGTCTGAGCCTCTATTCCAAGTGGATTCGGACATATTTCTCCAGGGTACATACCAAGGAGGACAGTTACGAGTTCAGAATCACCTCCATTTGTATTAGGGTTGTCAGAATCAAACCACCTGGTTACACACTCTGATGAATAAATTACAGAGGGAACTGTTATGCCACAAAAATGTATATGTACAAATATACTGCACATATAGTATAAAGTAGATGGAATGAATATACATACTTGGTTGGCAAAAACTCACTGGACATGTGAAACGGACCTTGTAGTCCTGACACCCTCCATTCTGTTGTGCATTCACACAAGCAAAGCCCTGTGTTGGATCATATCTGCAGAAACAGAATGCTTCTGTTAACATTATTTCTAAAATCTGTTCATAAATGTAGTTTAATATGCATGCAAAGAATTTTAATGTTATTTTGTATTTAGCGCTGTCTGATTGCATAGTGTAAAATGGTATGAAACAGTACACTTTATTGCATGACTGCTCCTGAAGTACCAATTTAACATACTGTGTCTATTAAAAACATTTGTAAAATACTTGTTGGATTGGCTAAACTGCTCTTTTCAATCCATAGAAAAATAATTGGGCAGCTGTGTATGCAAGCCTTACAGACAAGTACTATAACTGCTACCAAGTGTTAAATCTGTATTTTTTTTTCTAATTGAAATGAACAAGCAATGAGCATGCATAAATATTTCGTGGGATAAGGACATTGTGTCTAGATCTCATATCATTATTTATTTTATTCTGAGGATTTTAGCATAGAAAATATGGCATTGTTAGTCATACACTTGAAAATTGTTTCCAGTTGGCAGTACAGGAGTCCCACTAATGGTTGCGACCTCAATGGCGATGGGCTGAGCGCAGACTTGTAGTGGGTATCTTATCAGGGTCAACGACAGCGTCTCATAGTCTCCTAGTCCACCGGGATTATCTCGGTCAAACCAGGGTGTCCTACATTCTAATAGAAGACAACCAGCTGAGTAAATATAATAAACTCATACAAGACCAACAAAAGATCACATTGATTTCTATTGTAGAAAAGAACACTTAAAAGCATTTACAAGTGAATTTTGTGCTTTGATATATTTTGTAACTTTGTATACATTTTGTGTACAACTTTATATAATTGAAGGTGAACAAGAAGTTTAGACAACCTAATGATACTGATCTCTGTAGTAACTCAAGTGAAAGTCTGATTTTCATAATCAGCTGCAGTTTTTGTGTGTAAATGTAAATGTCACTCACTTGAACACCAATCCTCTGGGCAGGTGAAGCGCACCTTATAATCAGCACATAGCACTCCTGCTTGGTTTGCGTTTACACAAGCAAACCCACTTGTCGGATTATATCTTGAGAAAACACACAAAATCAACATAACATATACTGTAAAACTTCAGGATTCCTTGATCTTGGATCAAAATATTACCAGAAGCACATGTCCTGAAAAAACTTACACTTGAAAGATTTGAGATGCTGGTTGACCAGAGATGGTCTGAGCCTCTATTGCGATTGGACTCGGACATATTTCTCCAGGGTTTGTACTGAGAAGGTCAGCCAACAGCTCATAGTCTCCATTTCCATTTGGGTCATCACGGTCAAACCACTTGGTTATACAACCTGATAAATATAAACAGAAACAGAAGGAGGAGTAAAATTAAGGGAGACGATGAGAGTCTCTCAGAATATGTTGACAAGACATGCAAGATACACTATGTACCTTTTTTTTTTTTGTTGCTCAAAATTAAATGTGAGTGAATACCTCATGAAACCATCTTCCAAAACCGTTTTTGCCTTACCCCAAAACAGACAGAATTGTGAGATAAAAGTCGCAATTTCCTTATTTTATTTCTATATTACCTTTTTTATTTTATATTATTTTTTTTATTTTTTTTAACCAGCGGTGCACCTCTTGCCAACAGATTCAGAACAGCAAATCTGAAACCCATCTCATGTATTTACCGAAACAATGTTCCTCCACAAGTAACCTGTATTTTATTCTTCAACATCAAGAGCACCAAAAAAGTAACTCAGTGTAGGTTTAAAGTAGAAAAATACACCTACTCTGAGTGGATAGTGAGATGAGTGTACCTGTAAATATTGACAGACAGAGACAGGAGTTGTTGTTTTTTTCTTTCCCTTAAACAAATATCTATTCTAATTGCTTTTACCAACATCATCTTTCATAATCAAACTTACTTGTAGCAAGAACCACCCAGGTTGCAAATACCTTGAAATGAATAATATAATATAATATAATATAATATAATATAATATAAATGCAAAAGAGATGGCATACCTTGCTGTTCATTCTTCAGTTTTTTTTAAATAGGAAGTCTAATAGGAGAAATTAAAAAAATATAGAAACAGAAATCATCATAGTCTGTAAATGTAAAAATTCAGAATTATTTGGCATTGCTAAAAGAAGAAAAAAAACCTTCAATGAATACCACCGCAAAACACTTTTAAGTAATGAATTGTAGAAAAAAATATATACATATAAATATAAATATATAAACTCACCCACTTGATGATTGTGCTAGTGAGAATATCTATAGCACAATATTTCACTAAATTCAGCAGGACAGTTTACACAACATCATCTGTGCTCTCCTTTTTCTGCTGAAATTCTTGTCTTTTTAAGCAGGTGGCCTCCTCCTGGACCGTCTTGCAGCAGCATCTGTTATCATCTGATCTCCCTTCATTCACCTCTAGCACTCCACCCATCTCTGTCCTGAATAGAGATTATTTGTTGTCTTGTCTAAGACTTTATCTTTTGTTCCTCACTTTAAGTATTTCCTGATAAAGAAGCAGGGAAGGTGAGATTGTCAGATGAGACATTCGATCATATGTTCCATAAATTAGAAAGAGAAAATACAGCAATTGTAATCCTACAATACACTTTACACAATACACAAGGTCACAGAAGAAAAGGCTTCAAGCTTTTCATTTACCCCTTTGCAGACAGTGGTCGTAAAGGAAAGTAGATATGGGTTGTTTTTAATCAATACTCTGAATGTTTTTTTTTTCTTTCAAATTTAAACAACATAATTACATTTACAACTTATGTACAACTGCTAGGACTCATTACATTTCTCACAGCAGTAAATTTCACATTCAAAATGCAATAAAACTAACAAAACACTCCATATTTGTCTCAAATCAACACATTCTTCCATAACACTAGCAAAGCTTGTCAACCAACAAGCACACTTTCCCACACATAAAACAATGACCTAAAAAAAACTCACTAACATCAGGTAGAATTACACGTTTTCTTTTCTTTCTTTCGAAAACAACAATGACAACTCTCTACTGTTTAGAATTCACTGCAGTATGTGTTACATTCTCCAGAATTCACTGCAGTATGTGTTACATTCTCCATGTTTACCTTACAGTACAAAATTATTCCGAAGTTGTCATGTTTTGTGTAGAGGATAATACCTAGTATTACCTTCAAATTACACGCCTGGGTAATCATTTGTTTGAATTCTTTATTCAATATTTTGCATATTTTAAAATGTTTCAAATCTACTCTAGGATCTCAAAAATGAAAAATAGTGCAGTTGATATGTCTTATCTAAGCACTCAGGATGTATTTGTAATATGATAGTAAAATAATGGCAAATGTATTTGGGGGAAAAAAAGCGTTGAATTGCACTAATTGGAAAAAATAAAATGGCATTTTAATGTATTATATTTTCAGGACCGAAGGGCTGAAATGCAACATGGTTGAATGTTGCTATTTAATCAGTGAATATTTCAATTAAAAATATTTCACACACATTTTTATAATCAAAAATTCAATAATCCATATTCACCTTCCAGAGTTCACTTCCGAAATATTCAGTCTGCTTAAAAAGTATGATCTATAATATTCGACAGGCAATTTTCTATCCATTTTATTACACTTTACAAATTAGCTTCCACAAATTCAGTGGTTCAAATTTGGCAGAATATTTAACATTACACATCCGGGAACTGCAGGAATAGCAGTAGAGTGCCGATGCATGATCTCCATCTGCTGTTAGTGGCTCACCAGCAGGTGGTGCAAGCGGCTGTTGACAAAGACCATAGCAACAGGTGAAGAAAGTCATTAATTCACAAAAACTGATCTGCAGAAATGGCAGAAATGAAGCAATCGATAAGTATATGTTATGATTATCAGGGCCAGTATGTAAATGTTATTAATTTTGGACCCTGAGTGTATGTGCCCTAAGGTCCAGGGTTCATGTTAAAAAATAAAATAGAAATAAATAAATAAAAATTTATAAATAGCTAAATAAACCTGAGAGCATTCATTTAAAAAGATACTCAAAAGCTAAATGAACACTGAACAATGAGTTCTTAATATAGTTTCACATATGAAGGGCCCTTACCTTCATGGGAACATGAGCTTTGGAAGGGCCAGATACCCATTATCATGGAAATATGTAAAATATTCAATAGGACAGTCTGCAAAACAGAAACAAAATGAATCTCAAGCTGCCCACCAGGTGCCAGCTCTCTGGGTGATACGATCACCCTGTGGAGATTGACCAAACAATGAATTAAGTTCAAGTGTGTATATGAAGGACTTGCAGTGGTTAGTAACTAAAAACATGTGTTTGTTCACAGTGTGAGGCCATTATGCTTACATGCTGCTGGTGAAAGTGTCAGTGCAAACAAAGAGAAAGATGTATTGAGAAAGAGATGACAAATTGAAACTGCAGCGAGAAGTTGAGCAACTGACCAGCCTTAATTCTGTCAGGCAGAAAGTAAAATGTTTTATTCTATTAGCCTACTGGAAACAAGGCTTGGACGTAACGGTAAATAGTAACATGTCCGACCCATCTTTTAATGAGATCCCTATGTGTGTGTTTGGGTCACAAACCTAAAAAAAATAATTGTGAAAAAAGATCAAATAAAGCTTACAAGTAGGAATGCAAGTTATATTAGTTCACATGAAAAGAATGAGATAAAAAAAATGTGCAGCATACATAACTTACAAGGTCTTCGGGATTACTAGTGTGTTGGAACAGGTTGGAACTAAACTGCAGGACTGGTCACCCCTAAAAAGCTGGGACTGCAAACAGATGTGTAGGTCAGTCAATACTACGGAAAATGTAATGTGCAAAAACTTTTTTTTTCCCAATTAGTCAAATAAAACCACTAAATCAGCCACAACGCAGAACAGAAATAAACAGAAAATTAAATGGCAACATTCTAACACATCCACAATGTAGAACACTTGTGCTCTCTCTCTCTCTCTCGCTCTCTCTCTCACACACACACGCACGTTGGCACACCTATCATTAAGAGGACATTCCATAGGTGTCCTCATAGAAATGAATGAGAGACAATAAAAAATTGCTGTCTGTTACATAATTTGTCAAACAACATATTTAGACACAATGCAGAACACACACAGAAATGAAGGGATGACACCATAGCACATCCATGATGAAAAACAAATGCAAAAACACATATACACAGATATAACACACGTTCAGGTTTGACTGTGATAAAGTGGCATGTTTGAAAAAAAAAATGCACAAAAAAATGCTAAAAATGGAATAAGACTATTGTTTATTGTTAAAATAATTATTTTAAACTGTATAAACATAAATGTGAATGACAACTGCACCTTTGCCTATATGTGAAAATGGCAAATGAGCCACTGAGTGATCCTCTGCATCCATCTAATGGCTGTAGTTTTCATGTTACTTTAATTTTAGAAGTGTTTTTCTTCAGTAGATTGCAGCGATCTTCCACTAAACCACTGATTCCCAATCCTAGTCCTGAAGAATCGCCAACACTGCACATTTTAGATCTCTCCCCAATCAAACACATCTGATTCAACCCATCAGCTCATTAGTAAAGACTCAAGACACGTGTCAAACTCTGCTCCTCGAGGGCCACTGTCCTGCAGAGTGTAGCTCCAACCAGCTCCAAAACACCTGCCTGGAAGTTTCTAGTGATCCTGAAGATCTTTATTAGCTGGTTCAGGTGTGTTCCATTAGAGTTGGCGCAGCGAAGCCTTTACAACACACTGCGTTGGTGCTTCAAAGCTTTTGACACTGTGCTCTACTTCGTCATCTGGTGGTCAATAAAAATTCTTACACCAACTGTGTCATTCAGATGTTTTGTTCATTGGGATGTCATTGTAAAGTTTATTTGTACATTTAATAAGCATATATCTCATTAGCAAGATGGCGGCGAATGTGTGTGCAGCAATAGAGTTTACAAATGTTATTGTATTTTACACTACAATGACAAAGATTTTCTGTTCTTCATTTTTACTCACATCAAACTTAAGTCTTTTCACCTTCTAAATTGAATGTTTAATACGCCAATAAATTAGGCCTATGTGATTTTTCATTGCACCATTTGTGTGTTCCTTACAAAACAACACAAACATGCACAGCTAAAAAACACAAATGCACAAATACAAATGCAATTACATATTTTTATTCAAGAATATTATTTGTTCCACTGTGCTGAAGCTTAAGCGGCTCCTTTTTGTTTTACTAATCACATCCCCAGCTTTAGGATGGAACAGATGTGGCTGTAATGGCTAGATATTTTCTGGCCAAAGCATGTAGATGGGGGTACACTTTATGGGCCTGCCAGTATTTGAGAGGGTCCTTATTTCGAGGGATGTATGCATCATTGATCTGTGTGTGATGTGACGTGTAGCCAAGTATGGTGTCCCATGCTCGGAATTTGTACTCTGCATTTAACCCATTCAAGTGCACACACACAGCAATGAATAGTGAACAAACACACACACACCGTGAACACACACCTGGAGCAGTGGGCAGCCATTTTTGCTGCGACGCCCAGGGAGCAGTTGGGGGTTCGGTGCCATGCTCAAGGGTCTAACCTCAGCCATGGTATTGAGGGTGGAAGAGAGCGCTGTGCATTCACTCCCCCACCTACAATCCCTGATGATGCCTCTTCTTGTGAAGCATGCTCACTGCTTAGCCGGATCATTGAAGCACATTCACCCGTCAACAGCCTTTTAGCTTCATGAGCATTATCCTGGTTGCCAAACCCAAGGTCTTAAATCTGGGGTCTAGCAATGTGGCCAGTGCAAGCATACAGATGGATTCAACATCGCTGCACCGCTTGTTGATGTACTGCTGAAGAGCCATCCCTAAGGATGAAGCAGAAACATTTCTTGCCAGGGCTGTTTTTTTCTGCCACTTTGTGCTAAATCATCCTAATGATTGGGATGATCTTTGAAGCTGACAC